AAGTGACAGAGCTAACTGATGGCATCTTCATTGGATGTTCCATTAATCACAGTATCGTTGATGGATCATCTTTCTGGCATTTCTTTAATATGTGGTCTGAAATCTTTCAAGGGAAAGGAGACGATGTCTCGATATCGCGCCCGCCTGTTCTCAACCGCTGGTTTCCTGATGGTCATGGTCCAGTACTGACTCTTCCTTTCACCCACCATGACCAATTCTTAAGCCCGTTTGAAGCACCTTTACTCAAGGAAAGGATGTTTCACTTCTCATCAGAATCAATTGCAAGACCCAAAGCAAAAGCCAACGCAGAGATCAACACCAACAAGATTTCATCTTTCCAGTCCCTGTCTGCTCTTGTTTGGAGATGCATAACGCGCGCTCGCAATCTACCACATGATCAAGTAACCTGTTGCAGAATGGCTATCAATAATCGTTCAAGACTGAATCCACCATTATCTCCCGACTACTTTGGAAACTCAATTCAGGCACTGAAAGCTGGGGTTTCAACCGCAGGTGAGTTGCTGGAGCAGAATCTTGGATGGGCAGCATGGCAGTTACATCAAGCTGTGGTGAGCCACAGTGATGAAAAGGCAAGGGAGTTTCTTAGCTTGTGGTTAAAGTCTCGGTTTATTTACCAGATAGGCAAGTTGTTTGATCCACATAGTGTGATGATGGGGAGCTCACCAAGATTCAATAAGTATGGGAATGAATTTGGACTGGGAAAGGCTTTGGCACTTCGCAGTGGATATGCACATAAGTTCAGCGGGAAAGCGTCAGCTTATCCTGGACATGAAGGTGGAGGAAGTATAGAGTTAGAGATTTGCCTCTCCCCTGATGAAATGACTGCTTTAGAATCTGATAAGGAGTTCATGGGTGTTGTCTCCCCATCTGACAAGGAGTCAATGAGTGGCTAGGTTTTTACTGGACGATCTAAGATTGACTATAAATATATATTATGTGATCTTATTTTGACTTGGTGAAAAATAAAAGTTAAGTCGTCTTAAATTTTGTGTTTTTTTTTTTAATTTTTTTCATTACAGTTTTTTTACAATAATTTCTCACTGAATATTTTGTGTTTTTTTTTTCACCCGTTGAAAACGCATTAGTTCTCTAATTAAAATGATTGGTTACCAAATCTTTTTTAGAAAAAGCACTATAAAAAATTAATAAGACTACTAGATTAGTATAATATCGATATTAACAACCTGTGTTTTTTTGGATTGTTGGGCCTTTGGGCCTGTCATCTATCCAGTTAGGCCATGTGGCCGAACTTAGCCAGACCCTAATCTTTTTCTTTTTGTGGGGTTTGGTCCTTCGGCCCAACATTCCTTCTCTCACTTTTGCTGGTGGGTTGGGCAACTTTTCTAGTCAGCCCGTCCACCTGTCATACTTTTTTTTCCTTCACAGCCCAGGCCTTTAAGTTTGGCCCAATCAGACATTATTAAAATATGAAGCCATCAATAATTGAAAATTGGAATTCTTTAATGGGAAGCAAGTGAAACTCCAATACAGAGCATAAGCTTATTATTCAATATTGACGGGATTACATTCCTTAAGGGGGAAAAAAAAAACTTAGAAAAAAGAATTCACAAGACCTTAGGGATTGCTCAGTAAAAAAAAATAATTATTATTATTCCTTTCTATTTTCATTTTTTTCGAAGAAAAATTAAAAACAGTTTTGAATATTTTTCAACCTGAAATATATATTAATATTGTATTGTTTTATATTTCAAAAAAATAACAAAATGATAATCGTGTTCAAACTAAATCTATTTTCTATGTTATTCTTTATATTTTAAAGTAGACAAATATTTTTTTCTCATCTTGAAGGTGTCGTCTATTTTTTATTTATTACCATTATTTTTATTGAAAAAATTCACCTAATGAAATTGGATAAAATGCAAAAATAAACTCGATAATAATATAAATCTTTCACTGTTAGAGTATTTAATAATAATAATAATAATAATAATAAAGTTTGACACCCATAAACAATGTTAACTAAGACAGAATAAAATCGTAAGTGAATATTAGAATAATTGTTATTATCATTCCATGGTTGATCCACGATGAGTTCTCTTTCCTCCTTTATTTATTGTTGTTGAGAGATATCTACTTGAATACCATGTTTAACGAGCATTTACGTCTGACAATTAACAATATATTTGTTTATCACTTATGTCTGAAACCACTTTTTGTTGAAAATTTGTAAGTCTATAAGCTCCCATCTATCATTATTACGTAGCAACAAATAATCATGTATACGCTTTAATATTTTGTGTTAGAAAAACTTAACAACAAACGTACGGGGGGTTCACTTGGTAATGATATACATAAAGCTTGCTGGACAGGAGAGATTTTGCATATATTATATGACATTTATATCAAGACAATAGAGAAAAGGATGGAATCTAACATGCAATTCCACAAAGCTGGATGGAAATTCATCATATCTACCTTCAAGGAGCATACTAGGCATGCATTCACAAAAGATATGTTGCAAAATTGAAAGGATCAAATGCTTATGAACAAATATCTTCTCATTGCTAAAGTTTGAAAAAGATTTTTTTGCTTAAATTGAAAGGATTAAAGCCAAGTATACATTTTCTTTTTGTTTTTTTTTTTCGATCTCACCTACCTTAAATTTTTACTAGCATATTAATTTACACTTTATATCAGGTTAATATTATTTTTTTAAATATAAAAAAATTAAAAATATAAAAAATATTTTAATTTTTTTAGGTTTGACACTAAATATAGTTGCTAGCTCGTATCGAGGTCTGACACTAAACATGGTTGCCAAACCCAAAGATCTTGGGTCTCACATGGTAACCAGATCCAAGTAACTTAGGTCTAGTAATTGTTTCCAGATCCAAGCAAATAACAAACAAATAAAGAATAATAGTGCATTTTAGTTATAAGGAAAAAAAAAAAAAAATTACAAACAATCGGTCATTGGAGTTAATTCAACCATGATAATATGTCTACATGCACTGTACCATATGAAAGATAACATATTTGCGCATTTATCTAGATATTGAATGGCTAGATTTGGCTACAGAGAAGCATCTCGTTTGCTCTTTAAGAACATGGGTGCCACCCGTTAGCTAAACTGCATGGAACATGTATCAACAACTTTTTAAATAAAAAATAAAAAATTTGACGTGAAAACACTAAAATGCTTCTCCATTTTGTCCTCTTAATTACACATTATATGTAACTAAATTTCACTGTTGTAAAAAAATTAATTTTTTATTTAATTATTTTAATGTGCTAATATAAAAAATAATTTTAAAAAATAAATAAAAATTATTTTAAAAGTAATATTATTGTTCCACCTGGGTAGCAAGTAACCAAGTTTATTTATAAGGGTTTGTTTTCCATAATCTTTTTAGGAGTGTGGACCCAGTAACCAAGTTCATTTGTAAGGGTTTGTTTTTCATAATCTTTTTAGGAACGTGGTAGATGTTTTTTTAAAATGCTTTTTTATTTATAAATATATTAAAGTAATATAATTTTTATTTTTTAAGATATGATATCCACACATTAAAAAAATAAAAAACATAATAAAATTAGTTTATAATTTATAATTTATAATTTAACTTGAACTTACCCTTTTAAACAGTTATAATTAAATACTTAACTCACTAAGAATTCCTTTCTAAAACATAGAGGCCTACCCTTTATCATAAAGATCCAAGAAAGACAAAACATTGTTTAAAAAAAATCATAAACACTTTTATTAAAACATTTTGGCTTTTGGCTTTTGGCTTTTGGTTTTCTTCATCAAAGATTGGCCTCCTCTATCCAGAGGGCATGATGCTCTTTCTTTTTCAACACAGCAGGTAGAGAGAGCCACTGGAATTTGACACAGTAAGTGTCTAAAAACCACGGGTTTGGCCTTTCATGTGCGGATGCACGCGTTCATGTCCCAACTCCCATAGGTTTCGTGGTTTTGAAATTGAGCTGTCAGGTGAGCGTTTTATGTTTAAGCGGACCTGAAACGTGCTAAGTAACAAAACTAACGACGCGGGAGGTCATCGTTCTGCTTTCAAGACATTTCAAAAACAAAGACCACTACTGAAAGACCAGGCATGCTACTTTCATACTGTGCTTGTCTTTGATGGGTTTCTCTTTTAGTTCATGGTTTTTTCTTGAGTGGCTGGTGGTGGTGGTGGACATTCATTGTTGCCTTTTCATCTGTTTGTTTAGGGTTAGACAAACCAATAAAGAATATTGAATGTGACATGTTTACTTCTTGTTTTTAAAACGCTATAAATATCCTGCTGCACTTGAAAATTAAACATCATGTTTCTTAAATACAAGATAAAAATGTACTACTTTATCAACAAAATTTCAAATAATAATAATATTCTGCTAACATTTTCAGATTATTGCGTTCATTAAAAAAACCAAAAAAACATGTTAGAACCTAGACATTCCTGTACGCGTTTTAGATTATATTATTTATTTTTTAAAATAATTTTTTTCTTGAATAATATTAAATTTAATATTTTTTAAGTATTTTTTTAATAATTTTAATATCTAATATCAAAAATAAAAAAAAAATCTTAAAAAACACTATTTTAATTCAAAACACATTTAAAAACACCATCCACTTTAATGGATAATTCAAGAATGATGGGCGGCGAGGAATTTATGGGTAAAATTTCACAAGCCCAAGTCAAAGATCATCCTGTCCAACAAGTTTCAACAGTTCAACTTAAACTTCATTCAAATCAAGGTTTGGACCACAAATTTCTCAAATTAATTCACTAGGTCAAGTTCAACAACTAGCAGCCAACAGGATAAAAGCTCTTAACAAAAAATCAATTGCTCAACCACCCCATACTACCAGTTTCATTCCAAAGTAATAGTAGGGGGATAGGTTTAAGAACAGCTGCAGAACGAAGACCATGCTTCAAAGTAAAATGTTTCACAGGCCCTCAATCATGATTCCGTAGAAGTGAAACGGATTAAAAAAATATGCAAAGCCAAGATAACATCAACACACAGCCAGCATTGAGCAAACTAAAGCAGAAACGGAAGATAGAATTCTCAATCGAGTTACACAAAACACACACAAGGAATATCTATCAAGTTCTACCAAATATCTGGAGACCTTGCACCACGCAAATGAGCATACCAAGAATTCAAAATTCCAACCTTGCATGATAAAACTAGAACAACACACTGAAAGGAATGTAATGATTTTTCTGCCAGTAAAACTAGGTCTAGATTTTGCAAACCATTCAGCACTCTTTTCCTAATCCACCAAACACACTTAAGAGACAAGATTGTCATTCAGAGACAGTGACCCAAGCTGATCCGCTTGACTGTTGATCTGCTGCTGAGCAGCTACAGTCCTAAGGACATCCATAGCTTCTGCCACTTTTGCCTTCAAAGCATCTGGTGACTCAAGAAGGTGCAGCACCTCAGTTTGATCCATCTCCAGAAGCATGCCTGTAACCTTGGCAGCTGAATCATGCTCAAGCTGATCCACTATGGGGTATAGACTTTCACCCAGCATCTGCCGACCAAAAAAAAAAACCGAGAAAATAAGATAAAATTATATGCCCAATTAATTAATGGACCATGTGAAGTTCGTATTGGCAAACAAAATGATGTCGACCCACCGTCCTCTGCTGTTCAGGTGTTGCATTTGCCAGGGCAGTAGCTAAAGCAGTAATGGGCATGGGCTGTGCAGCATCACGTATTGGCATGCCGCCCATGTCATAAGGAACAGAAAGCATGCCGCCAGCAACACCTGGCATTGGTACATCTGGCATGTTGCGACCTGGTGGGTAACGATACACGCGTCCCCTCGGAAGCATCTGGGACAAACCAAAAGGATAGTACTCTTAATATAAAGAACATGGAATACATGAACATGATAAATTCAAAATATCTTCCACTGACCTGTTGCTGCATGAGAGGGACTTGCTGCTGAGTCTGTTGAACAGGACCACCCCCACGTCGCCCTCCAGGCCGCTGGCCTTGCTGACCCTGCTGA